CTCTGCAGGAGCGTAGCCGAAAGATAGCCCTACATACCTACAACATACCTGAAAGATGGTCGTCCAGCCTCCGCTTGAAAATGTCCAGCGAAGGAGCATCCACCACCTCCCGAGGCAGTCTATTCCACTGCTCAACCACTCTTACAGTTAGGAAGTTCCTCCTGACATTTAGCCAGTACTGACTCCCTTGTAATTTCCACCCATTAGATGTAGTCTTGCAATCCAGAGCAAGAGAGAATAGATCTGCTCCATCTTCTACATGACAGCCCTTCAGATATTTGAAGACTACAACCATGTCCCCTCTAAGCCTTCTCTTTCCCAGGCTAAACAGACCCAACTCTTTCAGCCTTTCCTCATAAGACTTGGATTCCGACCCTCTCACCATCCTGGTTGCCCTCTTCTGGACACGCTCAAGCTTCTCCACATCCATCCTAAAATGTGGTGCCCAAAACTGGACACAGTACTCCAGGTGAGGCCTGACCATAGCAGAATAGAGCGGAACGGGGACACAACGGTCGGGGACGCAACATCGACTGGTCATTCCAGGCCCCGAGGCCGGCTCACGGCCACTAGGGCCAGGGCCTTCTCAGTGGCGGCTCCTTACTGGTGGAACAAGTTCCCGGAAGAGATCAGGGCCCTGTGGGATCTCATGCAGTTCCACAGGACCTGCAAGATGGAGCTCTTCCACCAGGCTTTTAACTAGGAGCCGCCCTCATTACCACCAACAACCACCATTCATATCTGTGGTAGAGGCTGGCTGTAGAGAGGCAGAGTCAAACTGCTGGGAGCCAGTAACTATGGAGCTACATGATATGCTATGCCATCTTGGTGAACAACTATAGAGGCCCCAGTCACACGGGCCGGATATCGCGGGGGGGGGGAGGCATGGCTGTTTGCCCTGCAGCGAAATAGCGCGCGACTGCGCGATCAGGCATTCCCTCGCAGTCCCGTCGTTAGGGGGGAGGTGCCGATCACACGATGTGCCAAAGAAGCGGCGCGGCATGGCAAACGGGGTTGTGTTTGTTTGTTTTTTAACCTGAAGTATGCGCATGCCCCGTTGGGTGCTTGTGCGCATCCCTGGAGAC